GGCTACCTGTCGTTTCGGGTGAAGGCAGCGAAGCCCCTCCTTGCCGTGAGACCCGGCAAGCCGAGACGACGAGATGACTGGTCGGTCTCGGTCCGGGTCCACGAGGCCGAGGTGGTCCGTGTCTCTCACGACGCCACGAGCCACCTGAAGCCTGAGTCGACAGTCGGCTCACCGGTTCTCCGGCAATTTTTGAAAAAGCTCAATCCCAAAGCGGATTGGAAGCGATGCCTTATCTGGGAAGTCGAACTGAAATAAAAAAGAGAGCGAGCTTGGTTAGGCAGCGCACAAGGTGTGACACCCCAACTGCCTCCGCGCTGATGTGAAGGGATTGGGGTTGAGCATTGTCTTAGAGCAGATTCGATCCGATCAGGCTTTGTTAGAATATTTAAAGTATTTGAAATATAAAAACTCGGATTAATAAATTGGAAATGTTGAACATTTGTATAAAGCATATACATTGTTTAGTTATATTATTTCAATTATTGCAAATCATTTAAATTCCTGTAAAGAGAGTCCGGTTCTTGTCGAAATTCAAAAAACGAATATTCGAAATATGTTTGATATTCTAAGCAATTGCAACGTCAAGGACAGGAGTCCGGGACACCTTCTGATTTAAAATAATCCAACACTTGATTATTCAAATCATTTAAATTATTCAAGTTTATTACTTTGCGTGTTTCATATAATTTCAATAGTTTATAGATTTTGTTATTTCTGCTATTTTAATATTTAAAACAGAAATTCTTTTTAAATGCTAGGGAAGGGGATCCGCTACTTACTGGTGAATCTAATGTAGCATAGAATTTAAGTTCTTTAGATGTCTACAACATTTAGATTAGTACGTTTTAAATTTCTAAAATCCTAAGTGTGCTTTAATACTGTATATATTTTACATCACACCGAAGGAGGTCCGGGATTCGGGACCCCTAGATTGTCAATGTGGGGCCCCTAGATTGTTAATTTGGGCCCCCGAGATTGTCAATTTAAGAGCCCTAGATTGTCAATTCGGGGCCCGCAGATTGTCAATTTGGGCTGGCGAGGGCAGGCTGGGTCGTTGGCTTGGGAGCTTCTTCTTCTGGGAGAGGTGGAGCTCTTGCGTGTAAATCTTGTCTCCGTGGTGGGCGTGGGTTTCTATCGAGGCTGTTGGTTCGTTCCTTTCACGTGCCGGGGCTGCTGACTGTGCCGCGGCGGCTGGTGATTCCTGTTGCTCTACGATCGCGGGAGTGTCGTGTCGGTTGGTGGAGTTCGCTGCCTGACGCTCAGGGCTTAAGAGGCTTGGCTTCAGTCACGCGAGTGGCCCTGACCACTCGGCCTTTGGTTTCGTTCTTAAGTGCTTCTTCTTGCTTTTCTTTTTTGTGATGATCTTTGCCTCTGTTTTTGTTTCTCTGTTCGCTCTTTGTTGGTCTTCTGATCGTTCCTTGCGTTTTTTTCTCCCAAAGGCACCGGAGCTGTTCCTCACCCAGGGCTCGATCGTCGCATTGCTGTAGTCGTCGTGGGACCTGGGCACGTTTTGGGTTGATTGGCTTGGGAAGGAGACCTGCTATGGCTTTTCAGGATGTCTGTCTGCTTTTTTATGGCCGCGAGGCTTTTCGCTCTCTTTAGTATTCTTTTGTTAAACACTGGCAGGAAAGGTGGAGGAGTGGGTTCTTGTAGGCACTGGGCTGCGGGGTTGTGCAGGTGGGTGCATGTTCATCACAGGCGGTCCTGGGGCCTCGCGAGCAGCTTGTCTTTTTCTCCTGCTGTCATTGCGTCCTCTTCCGAAAGGTCGGTCTAAGGGGTTATGGCCCCCTCAACTCTGAAGCCCTAGAACCCAAGCCCTCAACGGTCTAGGGTTCAGGGTTTAGGGCTTAGGGGTTAAGGGTTTTGCCGGGTTCAGGGGTTTAGAGCTTAGGGGTTTAGGGTTCAGGGCTCAGGGTTTAGAGTTCAGGGTTGAGGGTTTAGGGTTCAGGGGTTTAGGGTTTAGGGGTTTAGAGTTGAGGGTTGAGGGTTAGGGTTCAGATTCAGGACCCTAAACTTGGATACTGACCCCGCTCAGTAGCAGTTGACTACTATTTGTAACATAGGCCCGAACCCTCAAATCCAGACCCCTTTCCGCCCAAGCCCGCAACCAAAACCCTAAGCCTTGAACCCAATAAACCCCGAACCCTAAACCCTGAAACTAAACCACAAGCAACCCTAATATAGGGGCCTGCATAATTACCTATGCTATTTTGGGGGTTCCTTATGATAACTACAGTACAATATACCCCCCAAACCCTATTCTAATTATGAAGGCCCCTGCATTAAACCCTACACGTTCCCTAAACCCCCAGACGCTGACTGCCCCCGAGACTCTCAACCCTCATCTCGAGCATCGTCCGAGCTCGACTCCCAAGCATTGAACTGCCTGCCCAAAACAGTTTTTCAGGGTTTAGGGTTTAGGGTTTAGGGTGTTTTTGTACTTCAGTTTGGGGCTTGAGGGGTTTGGGAACTTCTGGCCGATTCTGGCCCAAAACACAGCCTCATAGAGAGCTTTGTGCGTCTCCTTCTACTAGCCTCATACAATGCCTGTAGCTGCGCTACCAATATGCACTGCAACTCAGTAAAATTTCAGGCTGACGAAGTCCGCCCATGCGGCGACTTCAAACTGAAACCTTGCGCCGAGCCGGTCCCCCTGCACGCTCAAGTGACTCAAACCCTAAACCCTAAACCCTAAACCCTAAACCCTAAGTGACTCAAGTCTCGCTGAGGGCGATCTGTTGGCAGTGGTGACAGAGGGGGGGGGGAATGCACTGCGGCGGCAGGAGCCCTAAACTCTAAGACCTAGACCCTAAACCCTGTCCTAAGATAGCAAGAAGCTGTCGTGGCTTTTTGCTCCGCGGATCTCCGTGCACATGATGCGGCATCCCAGTTGACGTCGGGAAACGAAAATGAGATGAGCTTGTCGGACAGTCACAGTGACTGGTACACCCTAAACCCTAAACCCTAAACCCTAAACCCTAAACCCCTAAACCCTAAACCCTAAACCCTAAACCCTAAACCCTAAACCCTAAACTGTGAATAGGGTCATGGTTGAGGGTGCCATGTTGGAATTAGCTATATGGGTAGTTCTCTAAATTAGTGTCCCTGTTTGGGTCCCCAATATAGTACGGCACCCTGATAAAAAAGGACCCCCCCTCAAAGGGACCCTAATTTAGAGAACTGCCTATATGCTCGGTTCAGATATATGACATTGCACATCCTCTGAATGGATCTCGACTCTGCTGCTCTCAGCCTCCACGGCATAATTACGTCTTATCTGCGGCGCAGTATAGTAGTATCCTAAACCCCAAACCCTAAACCGCGCATGCCAGAGTTCCCGGTCGATTTATGGAGGACCCTTTGTTACATCCTCAGCCCTAAAGGGAAGGGAAAAGTAGAAGTAGTGGAGAAGAGGGGGAGAGGAAGGAAAAGTGAGGACGGGGAGGAGGGAGAAGAGGAGCCTATTGACGCCCAGGCTGGCGCGCAGTGCTTCAGAGCCCGCCGGGAAGGACACGTACGCGCACTAAATGAGGTTGCCGGAGTTTGCATCCGTCTTGGGGAAACCCTAAACCCTGAACCCGAAAATCTAACCCCAACACCTAGAGCTAAACCGTAGAACCAAAACCCCAAGCACAAACCTCTGAACCATAAGCCTAATCCTTTGAACTTTAACCTAAGCTTCACGAAGTCATGAGAGCCTTCAAGCAGGTTTGAGGGTTCAGGGTTCAGGGCGGTTTGGGGTTTAGGGTTTCAGGAATTCTGGGGTCTGGGGTTTGGGGTTTAAGGAACTCTGGCGTTTAGGGTTTAGGGTTTAAGGAATGTTGGGGGAGGATTTTGGGTTTCGGGCATTTTGGGGTATAGGGTAGAGGGTTTGTAAAGGGCAGTTTGGGGTTTTGGATAGTATTAGGGTTTCCGGCCCCAACTCGAGAATCACCTTCAGCCCTGGTGTACAGGAGCCCCATTCGAGTTTAGGGTTATGGGGTTTAGGCTTTAGGCTTTACGGTTTAGGGTTTGGGGTTTAGGGTTTAGGGTTATCCCGTTGTAAAATTGATGATGCTGATGCGGCATGTGATAGCGGGCACACTAAACCCTAAGCCTGAACTTCAAAACCGTATAGCATAAGGCCTTCTGGAAGCTCAGCCTTTGATCGTTAATCCACCCTTTTCAATATACCAGAACAACAAAAGCAACGCCGTTGGAAGTCAAGATTGAAATTTAAATCTCTAGCCTCGTACACCGGCGGGGCATGCAACAAAAGAAGCCTGAAACTTTGCCAGGACCCTTCCTCAGTGTTCCTCATATCTGGGACATTTTCAGGTGGGTAGTTACCGTTATAGGAGCCTTATAGAAGGTTTATATACCTTATAGAAGCCTTATAGAAGCCCTGTATACCCTAAACTCCCCCTAAACCCTAAACCCTAAACCCTAAACCCTACACCGGGCCCTACACCCTACACCCTAAACCCTAAACCGTGGCTCTAGTTTCCTTTAACATAGCAAAAAATACCAGACAGGCCTTGTCC